TTTCAAGAATTCTAAAAATAGAATGTCAAACTTATTAATTTTTTGGTCAAAACTTTCTAAAAAGGTTTATTCCAACAACCTTTTTATATATAGATATATTTTTTCAAAAAAACTATCGTACATAATTTATTTTTCTTAAAACAAGTTAATTGTCTAATTGCAAATATAATCATTCGGTAATTTTTTTTTTTTTTTTAAAATAATTTTCACTCATGTAAATACTAACATTTTTTAACAATTATTAACCCTTATAATATTTTAGATATTTTAAACATTAGACAAAGACTAAGGAGCTATATATATACACACACATGTATGATGTTAAACTTAAGTATTTTTTGACATGTTTTCCGTAGTTTAGAAAGTGGCTTCAAACATTTTTCCAGAATAATATAGAATATTGCATATACTTATTATATATGTGATATAATATTTTAGAGGTCTTTAGTATATTTATCACATATTTCTCTCCCAAACTACATGCAATAAAAACTTATAAGAAGAAATGTAGAATTAAATATTGTCTTCAATTTTTATCTGATTATTAGTTATATATTTGTTACAGTTTACATTAATCTCTCAGCTGTATTTGTAAACTTAATAAATCTGCATAAAGCGTGGAATCATTATGTGTACAATTTTTTTTTTTTTTAACGGTAACAAACTTATAAAAAAAATAATAATTCTGAAATATTATGTACTCAAATTTTGAGAGGTACCGTCATAATTTGGGATCATGTCGATATTTATTTTATATATACTAGGTAAACTAGTACAACGCACATGTATTACACGGGTACTTGCTAATTTTTTTTCTTAAAAATAAAATTAATGAGAAAAAGTATTAATTTTTTTTGTATTACACGTGTGCTATTTTTTTCTTAAAATCTAAAATTATATATTTAGTATGTAACGTTTTATTGTGCGACTTATTTGTGTTATATTATAATAATTTTTTCAACTTACAACATATAACTACATTAAACATAAATATATCAATTGAGAAACTATTTTATTTTTCTAATGAATTTTAATATTATTATTTTTTATTATTATAATAATAAATATAATTTATTTATTTCATATATACAATATGGATGTCAAATCAAAGATCATCAAAAGATGATTAATTTGATATATTATATATATAAAACCGATAAGAAATACAAAAGTTATCGACTTTTAAAATACATTTACAATTCAATAGCTAATTGAAGGAAGCAAATCAAAAGTCATGGATATATTAGTCACTTGGTGCCTCACTATGTAAAATTACAAAAAATTAAAGTGTTATATTAGTACAAATAATATTATCCTAAGTTAGCTAAATAATATTACAGAATGTCCGAACCTATATTATTAATTATTAATATATCAATATTATTTTTCAAACCTAATTACGAAGCATGATTCTTCGCCAAGTAGGATTCCGAAGCACCAGAAGCAGCCACGTAGGCTCAGCGCATTCGAGAATTATATATAGAGAGGATTTTCTCTCCAAAAATTTATAATTTCTTTATTTAGACTTATAAAATATTAGATACTTTTATATAATATTTTATCATGTCATATTATAACTATATATACATACACACACAGACATGCACACACACACACACACACACACACACATATATATATATATATATTAAGTTTAAATATTTTTAGACATGTTTTTTTTTTCCAAAATAGTTTAGGAAAATTGTAAATGTCTTCAAATCTATAAATATATAAAAGGCAACCTATTTACAAAAATATTAACATAAAAATCAACCAACATCTAACGCATTCTAATTTCAGCAGTTTTTTAATTTTTTTAATCTTAACCCAAAAAATCGGTCATCCATAAATGCACCCTAAATTGATGAGTTTTGTTGATGTATTTTTTGAAAACTAGTACAACACCCTTGTATTACACGGGTGCTTTTTTTCTTAAAATTTAAAATTAATGAGAGAAAAGTAGTTTGAAAATTTAAATACCTTCTATAAGAATATATACATATATATATATATATATATATTATATTTATTATGATACTTTTTATTTGTGCGACTTACTTGTGTTATATTATACTAATATTTTAACTTACACTATATAACTACATTAAATATAAATATATCAATTGAGAAATAATTTTATTTTTCTCATGAATTTTAATAATTATTATTATTTTTTATTATTATAAAGATAAATATAATTTATTTATTTTATATATACAATATGGATGTCAACTCGAAGATCATCGAAAGATGATTAATTTGATATATTATATATGTAAAACCGATAAGAAATACAAAAGTTATCTCCTTTTAAAATACATTTATAATTCAATAGCTCTTTGAAGGAAGGAAATCAAAATTTAGGGATATATTATTCACTTAGTGTCTCACTATGTAAAATTACAAATAATTAAAAGGTTATATTAGTAAAAGTGATATTAAAATACCTAAGTTAGCTAAATAATATTTATGGAATACCCGAACCTAGATTATTAAATATTAATATATTGATATTATTTGTCCAAACTTAATTACGAAGCATGATTTTTCGCCAAATAGGATTCCGAAGCACCAGAAGCAGACACGTAGGCTAAGCACATTCTGGAATTATATATAGGGAGGATTTTAGATATCAAAATCCATTCTCATTTAAATAGAAATTAAAATCCGTTCTCATTTTTTATTTAAAAAATCTAATTGAAAATAATTAGGTCTCATTTCGAATATAAAATTTTTAATTTTTAAATCCCTTATCATTGAGTTGCCATAAAATCGAGCCCACATTTATTGCATGCCGGTAGTTTTTTTTTATTTTTTTTTAAAGTTATTAGCCTCAAAAATCGATTAACCTTAAATGCACCCTAAAATGATGGATATTGTAGATTTAATTTTGGTAGATTCCGGTAGTGTTTACGATCTTCTAAAAATCAAAATCATTTCTCATTTTTTATTCGAAAAATCTGGCTGAACTAATAATTGGCTGAATGAAATTTTTCAATTAGAAAAAATACAATCACATATTCTCGTAAATGAACTTCCTATTAAACTACTATTATTTATATATTTTTGGTTTTTTTTTTGTTTTTTTTGGCAATATAAAATTCGAATTAACTATAGATTATCAAGAAAGACGTTTTACGATATCCGTTATATTTTGCTATGCAACCTTCATAAAACAAGTATAAATCATATAAGATATATCCTGCTAAATAATTTAAATGATTTACTTAAGTCTGTCTAGAATTCTACATGACCAGCTTTATGCATGTTTCACGCGCTACGAATATTAAGTGTTTGAAAATTTTAATTTGTGGCGGTAGGCGATTTAACAAAAGGGCAAACTAATAATGTTGTATACAAGAATGCGTTTATTAATATATAAGTTACATTTTGTTTTATCCTAATATATGTGTTTTACGTTTTTTCATTCATCCAATCTAAATGCTTACCATAATAAAACTAGCTCGTGCATCGCACGGGTATCGCACTAGTCACCAATCATTGAAGCAAATTAATGTTTTTATAACTTATATGTATAAACAAAAAACATGTATATATATGTATATAAAACAATTTACGGTTCAGTTCGGTTGATCGATCACAATTATCCAAACCTAACCGAAAATCGAAATTTTAGAAAAATGTAAACCGAAAATCGAACCAAATAATCAGTTTCGGTTTCAGTCCAAACCGAATTTTCGGTTTTGGTCGGTTCGGCTCGGCTAACCAAACTTTGTACACCCGTACGTAACGCGATTAAAAACAAAAAGCTAAAAAAGGAGACCCAAAGATAAGGCAAAGCGGGAAAATAAAAATAAACTCGAAGAATTTGACCAGGCATAGCAAAAGCAGAAATCTTGCTCATAGTCGTGAGTTAAAACGGTGACCACTGTACAAATGCGCTGGCTAAGTCCCATTACTATTACCATCATGTAGCCATAAAAAATCCTTCACTCGCCACATGGAGGAGTTAAAATCCATTCAATTTGAACCTATATTAACCTAATTTATTTTTACCTGTAAAATAATTATGTGAGTGTACCATATCACAGTTACTAGCTTTCATGGGCTAAAGTCTGCATTCATAATAGCATAATTTATATGCAAAATCAAATATATGATATAAGAATTCTTTTTTTTTTTTTAGTTCCCATATTCCAAAGATTATTGATGAAGTACATAGGATGATATGAAACAGAAAATATGATATCCCTATTATATCCCTATTATATTTAATTTTAGAGGAAAATGCTACGGTCCGTACAAAACTGTTCCGTCGAGTTTTGTAACTGTTATATCAACTATCCCCGACGGTTACGTGATGATCTAACGGTTGCAAACCTCGACGGAATAGTATCGTAACGGGACTCTAGCATTTCTCAATTTTAAAACGACTAGTATATGTTTTAATAGTACTCAAAACAAACAAGCATAAATATTTATAAAATCAAGGAAATAAATAAAATAAAATAAAATAAACTAGAAACATTAGTATAGTAGATGCATAATCAATCTGGAGTCATTCACGGCTCTAAAGTAGGTAAAAAGCAACCAATAGTCTGATAACAAAAAAAAAAAAAATTAAAAAACAGTAAATTGGTATCATTATTACTTTTTTTTTTTTTAATAATTATTAGTATTACTTAGCCACAACCCACTGTTACACACTACACCCCACCATACCTAATCAACGCCCTCTCCCTCCACTCCCAAACACACACACACACACAGAGAAAATCAAGAAAAAAGAGAAGAACAAAAACAAGAGAAAAAGAGAAGCTTGTCGAAGAAGCTGCTGCTAATGGGTTCATCATCTATCCTTTTTTCCACCGAAAATTGAAAACCCCCCTTTCCCCTAAAAAAAAAAAAAGAAAACAAGAAAAGCTAAGAAATTTTGTGGTTATGCGGCCTGAATCGAATGCGAGTCGATTCAGTGTGTGAGTCCGAGCTGAGATGATAACTCGGCCGTGAATCGGGAAAAAAAAGGGAGGAGAAGGGAAATGTCGGCGTCCCTTGCCGCATTTGAACGCCCTCGTGTTGTCAACTCAAATGCGGTAATGCTTTCAAGATTTTTTTTTTTTTTTTTTTTTTT